CAAAGCTCTAAAACCGACGTCTTGACAATACCTTCTATAGGCCGCATGCATTTTTTTACYTTTAGTGAAAATTCGCCGCAACATAAGTCTAAACTTATTTATTACGGGTTTACAAGTATTTAAACCGTCTTGAACGGCTAAATTAATTATATGGGCACAACAACGTGTATGAAATAATTTTCCGTCTAAAATAGGTGTCAAATGACACTTTGAGGGTTGTTCACCGGCGATTTTGTAAATCGTAGGTAAAAGAGAGAAATAAACGAGAATTGTAGTGGAAACGAGAAATTAATACGTAACGAATTCAACAAATGAAGCGAAAAACCGAGAATTGAGAGCGTTTTTTGCGTTTTTGAAGATGAGAAGTGTTGGTAACTAACTAAGGAACTTCCATCTCTATTTATACATGTTTTGGTAGCTAAAAAGATGAAAAAAACGGTCATAACGGTAACTAACGGCTAGTTTGACTTTTCTAACAGCTAGTTTGACTTTCTAACGGTAACGTTGACTTTTTCGTTGACCGGGCCGGGCCGGGCCTGGCCCATAACCGGTTGCGTAACCGGTTCCGGTCCAAAAAATCATGAATTATTCTAACCGGTTCGTAACCGCCGGTCCTTAACCAGTTATGGCCGGTCCCGATCGGTTACGGTTATGAGTCGGGCTCGGTTCCGGGCCTCCGTCGGTTACGGGCCGGGCCGGTTACAAATGGCCATCTCTGGACCCAACCAAGGAGGGGGATATGGAGAGAGGCCTGCTTTCAGAATTTATTTTAGGCCCAACCCAGTTGATTTTATTCCAAGGGCCCAGCAAAGTGGGGTCTCCTGCCAACCCATTCTCCAAAGAAAATCCACCATCTCCTTTGTGGATTCCATGTGCGCCAACTCATTCTCCAAAGAGGAGACCAAATCATTATTTACTTTTGAATCATCCAACATGTGGCCTACAACCTGCCTTGGTGACCGCTCCCTCAATATTTCTTTATTGACAAGCATGCACCCTTTATCCAATCAGGAGACCAAATCATTCTTTTCTTTTGAATCATCCAACATGTGGCCAACAACCTGCCTTGGTGACCGCTACCTCAATATTTCTTTATTGACAAGCATGCACGCTGAATTCTCATCAACTTCACGCCAAGCCGGAGACTTGGTGCTCGAATTCCCGTCCACCATCCCCGTCGAGTCGAAGAGCACTTCACGCCTAGCTGGAGATTCCATGCTTGATCTCACGTCAACCTTCCACGACGAGCCGAAGATCGGCGATTCTAGGGAGACCGACGACAACGACCCTTTTCCGAAACCCAACTCCGAATTGCCATCCTCGCTACTACTGAGGAATCCTGCCTCCGATCCAGCTTCGACAATTTCACCTATCTCCAGATCATCCCACGTTTTTTCAACAACTCGGACCTTAACCAGAGATATTCCGATGACCACCGTGACAATGTCCCTTATCTATTCTGCCTTATCCGTCAGAACATCCACAATACCGTGTGACTTAAAGAGACCCGATTCGCCATGCAGCTCCTGATTTAATACCTCTCCCCATAGACCTCCTATTTTAGAAAAAGAATTGGGGTTCCAAACCTGAAGCGGCAAGCCTTGGATTTCCAGCCTAGCAATGCGTTTCACCAGACAACTCCGCATTCCACCTTCTCATGCTTACAAACCAATCTTGCCAAACATCCACCGCCTTTTCGCAAAAATTACGAGCACCATCGATCGCATCAAACTCTAACAACAATGAAAGGCCCCCCAAGGTAGCTAAACCGAATTCCCACCCACCCTTCCATCCTCGACAAAGACCCGATCATCTTGAGAGCTTCGTAGCTTTTCAGATCACCGATAAGCGCTGATTTTAGTCTGGTTAGCATGTCTGACGTAGGGGACAGCTCCAACCTCTTTTCGCCCGCGACTATCTCCCCCGTAGCCCCCTCCTTCGATAGTTTCCCCGTGCTTCGACCATCCCCTCCTACCACCTCTGCATACGATTTGTCCCCCACATGTCGACTCACATGTGAAAACGAACGCATTCTCGAAGAACCCAACTGAACTCCTACTTCCGACTTAGCTCCGCTCTTCCTTCCAAATCGAGCTAGGGTAGCCCTGATCTTGAAGGAGCCTAACCACATCTTGTTAATAGTCCGCCTCCAATCTTTGACCTTTATGAATCTCGCAAACCCAAAGCACTTTCCCTGCCCATTTCTCTTCTTGGCGACGAACAAATCTACAATTTCCCCGTGCTTCTTGAATTCCCTCCATAAGCTTTGCTCTGAGACCAGCTCCGGGAAGTTGGTGAAGAAGAAGGTCGTTGCTTTACCTTTCAGATTGTCACTCCCCAGAGGAGAGAAACCATGCTTCATTTCTAGAAGATCAGCTCCGGGAAGTTGGTGAAGAAAAGCATTTCATGAGACAAGTTTCTTTGCTTGTAATCTGTATTGGGGTTTCTGTTATTAGCATATTACTTTGCAAAACACAACCAGAAATATTTCAAAGTTCCAAGGCCCAAGCGAAGTTTTGAAGTACGTGAGAGGGAGCGCCAATTTGGGAAGAGGAAGACGGAGGCTGAAGCGGGAGCCGGGAGGGAAGATGAAGACGAGGACGGACTGGAGTTTGGAGATTAGCTGATTAGGCGAATAGGGAAGAGGAAGACGAGGACGGATCTGGACCGAGGAGGCGAGGAGCCGATGACTATAGTATAGCGGGCTTGGGCTAGGATACGCCCCTTGGGCTAATGATGCCCTGGGCGACTGCCCATTCCCATTACATATTTGTGGTGTTTCAGAAATACATGTATTTTTAATCGTCTTACCCCTCGTAAGGATTCCATAATGGATCAAATTGTGGAGAAGTCTTATAGTTGGGTTTTGGCTAGGTGGAATCGGAGTGTAAGAGATCCGTTATTGTGGAGGTTCCATCCTATAGACTGTTTCAGGTCGTTGTAATGTGATGCTTTTGCTAGTTGCTTGCTACCTTTAATTTAACGAAAAGCTTATTGTCGTTTCAAAAAAAGAACTCTGATTGTTTTAAATGAATTATTAGTATTTTAGAGTTAAATTTTATTTATGATAATAAAAACAATTTATTGAAGATTTTTACTTACTTATCGAGAGCCCTTTTTTCACTTCTTGTCTAGGGCCTGAGTGCATGATACACAATACTAATAATCTCCATGATACCAGCTCTGTCATCATCATTCCTGGACCATCTGAAAAAAGATGCTGATATTTCAACAATTGTTTCTTGGGATATGGGAGTATTATGCGCTAATTAATTAAGGATATTCATAACAACAAAACAATAAGCAGCAATCGATAAAACATACCTAGAGAAACTGATGCCAGACATATTAGCAACCTCCATGAGGGCTGCATGCCACATATCTACATTTTGCATTGATTTTGCAGCTCCTTGGACTGTCTGTAACAACGATTTCCCATGCTCTATAATATATGCGGGTTCAAGATGATAAAATACAGGTAAAACAAAATGTAGAGAGTTCCTCCTTTCGTCGAGGATCTTCAGTAGTTCATCAAGGTGCCGACTGGAACTTGCATAACCTTTTGACAATACAATAATTGAAACTTTGGCTTGACTTGGTTGCCCTCTCTTGATCGTAAAATTTTCTAGATCTAACGCGTCGCAAAGATAATCTTGAAAGTAGTCATTGTCAATTTTTTTGGAACTCAAGTTAACGTTTACTTCGTAGCTTCTGCGTACTTCCCATGGAGAAGGCACTCTTCTAGAGGAACGAGATGCAACTAGAGGTTGATCCAATAGAGCCTGAAGTAAATGATTAAATGGTCAACAAGTTTTTGTAACCTAAACTAATTAGTCTTTCCTTCGAATTTTTAATTTTGTAGAACAACAATTAAAACACTTCCAAGTCATTCATATATGCAAAAGTCTGTGTAAMTGTTTAATCAAGTAAAATTTGTGAAAAACCCATGAGTTGTAGAATGATAAATATGTGTGTGGAAGGAAATCATTTAATCGAGAAGGAATTGTAGAATTATACTTGATTTTTTTAAGTATATACGGCAAAACTCACACACACTTCTCACATGTATTTGGTGAGGTTTGAACCCTTGACCTCCAAGAAGATTGAGATCTACTTGTAACTCGGGGTCACATAGTATACCCAAATTGGGAAAAGATGAAATCCCTTCCCTTTTATCTACCAGGCTTAGTTTAATTAACTTTGTTCTCATTCTGCTAACCTTTGGTKTSGTWGATTCCATTTTCTGCTGGAGTGATGAGGTTGATGTAAATTCCATAGTTTCCTTGATGACAGATGCTTCAGACATATCCATGGCCTGTTGATTATAAYTTTTTAAGGTGAGGGGTTCCGAATTTACATTAGCTCGTTTCATTTCTCAACTATACTTGAAATATATTCAATTACYTCTTTTTGTGCATCATTAGATAATGTAGTGGCAAATTCTATTGCCTCCTCTASTTTGATAGGGAACTCCACACTTTTATCATGCAAAGATCTAGGCATCCTTGCTGTAATCTTGTAAATTTCCTCCTGTTGTTTTACATAAATACGATGGGTAAGTCACACAAATTAAAATTAGTAATGTATTTCCAAAAGAGGAAGTACTAATAACAAATTTACCGATTGAGGACCATAGACGATACATCTAATAATTTTCAATTCTGTAAATGATTGATATGACTGTTGAGGTCTACCGGTCTTTCTCCATCCTCGTACCTCTGTAACAATATCGTGTGACATGAGGAACTTTGTTATTTGAAGCTTAAATTTCAATTAAAAGCTCCCACAGTTATCTTGACAAGAGGGGAATATATACCTGTATCATCAATGGTGTGATCACCAACCAAAATGCTAAGCCAACCAGAAGTCAATGTGTCTACCTCCATTAACYGAAAGAAATCACGCCGGCAAAGATAGTACGCTCCTGTGCTTAGCTGAAATCCAGAATAATTCCCTCCAAGAATTTCTACCCACTCTAAGTTATTTTCCATGGTCTCATTTATTACTTCATCATCAGCGTACACAAGGCTTGCACCACACTTGCATATCTCCAATCCTTTCATCACTATGATAGTCACATTGATTTTGTCTCCAACATGCAATTTGCTCCCAATTGGCCAATAGCTTAACCATATAGCAATTTCACCAACTGTTGGTTTACCAAACACTTTGGGGTTGTACATCAAATCAACACCATTGCTCGTACTGATTTTAGCAAACCATGCCAAATCCTCACCGGATATTGTATATCTGAAAGTCACGTTTAGTCCTTTCAGCATCCTGTTCTGGGGAAACARTGGCACATCAAAGGAAAACGATGAGGATTCTGATGTAAACTCAGCCGTCATCTTTGGATTCTTAATGTCTGGCAGAGATGTGCTCATTATATTAAATTCGTACAACATCTGCACCAAATATGCAGCATACTTGAGTACTTCCTATACATACATATATATATATATATATATATGTTAATAAGTTTGCACATGGCATCTTGATGTTCTTGTGTATTCTTATGCATGTGTTTGGTAATGAAACAAAGAACCTGGAGTTGACAACTTGTGCCTGACATGAGCTCATCATCACCAGCCAGGCAYATCTCATGATCTTGATATTCCTTTAGCCACTTCATATGTCCCAAATCTGCTTCATCAGATTTGGCTATTGGTACCAATTTTATAAAGCCTTCAATTTCGGACAAATTAATACAACCTTCGTAGCCAAACTCTTGCAATGTGAATTTATGTGATTCAAAGGTTACCTTCTCCAGTGACGTACAATAATATRTGTACAATTCTGCCAGTGTACTTGGGAGATATAATGATTCAAGTCTAGAGGACAAGCTCAAGTCCAGGATTCGAAGATTTTTTAGATGATTGTAAGAAGGCAGGACTTTCAACATACTGTTGCCTAGATCCAAGTATTGCAAAAATGAATGATCATTGAAACTAAGAGTAGAATCATTGTAATGACCAAAATTGCAGTCCTTGAGGAATAAACGCACTAATGAGCATGGCAATAAAAAGGAACTTTGCAGCTCATCACACCCTCTCATATCCAATAGATCAAGACTAGTAAGGTATTTAATGGTTTTACAAACACAATGCAACCTGTGACAGTTCCAAAGAATCAAACTCTCAAGATTAGGAAGTCGGGAGATGTTGTGAATCCTATTTAGGTATCTGGAGCTTTTAAGATTTAGAATCTTGAGTGACTGAAGAACCTGCAAAAAGAATATATATATATATATTAAAAAAAGATTTACATGGCACTGCAAATATCCATAAAGACATTAAAAAACTGAGAAGCCAAAGACCGAGCAATAAAATTTAAAGAGGATATGCAGCCCCCTACCATGGGTGGTTCAAATTCTTCCAAGCAGCTATAGCTCATATCTAAAGCGACCATGTTTCCCATGCATAGGTGGGCAGGCATGGATCTTTCGTTGAATCCAACCCAACAGAGCCATCTTAAATTTTTAGCAAAATCCCTGGTGAATTGTTGGAATTGCACAAAATTGATCTGGAGCAATTCTAGTTGATCCATCTCTTGAAGTTGATAAGGCAAAAAACATAGCTGCAACTGCAAATTTAACATGAAAAGTGTTGGTATGTTTTCCTCATATATATATAGAAGAAATCTAGGCACAAAGATGCCTCAAGTAAACAACACCTAAAAGTAAAAGAGTGAATTAGAAATTTATCCATATTTTTAATGAAAAAAGATTACATAACGTGTTCCAACCTTGCATTTCTCAACCATTAATTGGTCTTGGATTGTTAAACAACCATACCTCTTTTATATATTTCCTTATGAGTTCATTATTGAACCCTTCCTTTTCCATCAGCATATGAATGTCAAGTGCCAAACCTCTCATTCTTCTTGCTCTCTAAACAGTAGAAGAGTGAAATAATAGAGTCTTGATTAGATGAAATATGAGGCGGGAAAGGGTACTAACTTAATTAAACATACAAGTAAGAAGCATCTTGCCTTTCCATTTCTCAACATTTCATATGAGTCCTCATTGCGCCAAACTCTACTACGTTCTGCAATTACCTGTGATTCTTGTTTGACTATGCTTCTTCCCATATCTTGAAGCAATATATGCATCATCAGTTTATTGTTTGGTGTAACATAAAGAAGGCTTCTCTTGGTCAGGGTTTCGATTCTAGATTCTGCAGAGTAATCAGGCTCTAATATGGTTACCACATAATCCTTGTCCATGCCAACAAAGAAACAAGCAATATGCAAAAACAATTCTCTGTCAGAGTTAAATGGTAACAGGTCATAGCTCCTTTTAAGTACACTGTAAATAYTGTGAGGAGTATCTTTTTCCAGTAAATTTAGTGCACTTCTCCAAGATGAGAAGCTATTATGTTCTGACATAGAGGAACCCCAAACTTCAAGAGCCAACGGATGCCCTTTACAATAYTGTACTACCTTTTTTGCAAACTCCTCGTATTGTATCTCAGGAATTTTGGATCCAAAGGCATGAAGACTTAAAAGCTCTAGTGACTCGCCATCATCCAACAATTTCATTYTGTACTTATGATACCTCCTAGAATATTTGGACTTTAACCATGTACCTATGTTATGGTCTCTAGTTGTTATTATAATCTTGCTTGCTTTGTTAATATTCCCAGTTCCAAGTAAAGTTACCAATTGGCTCGATTCAACGATGTCATCGAGAACAATTAGTGCCTTCTTTGTTCGTAAGACTTCTTCAATCTTATACGTACCCTGACAAACACTTGGTATTCTTCTGTTCTTTCCCCCTAATATATCTTTGAGAAGTTCTTCTTGTACCTCAAGCAAATCATGCCTTTCTTTACATCTACTACCAATGCATTCAACAATACTGATGTTCTCAAAGTTTTGCCAATTGGAATAGACAATGTACTGGGCCAATGTCRACTTGCCACTTCCTCCCATGCCACAAATTGCTAAAAAGTTGGCATGGGGTTGTAATAACCAAGAATTGATCTCTTGAAATCGAGCATCCATCCCAATTAGATTGGGTGGAAGATAAATTTGTCTGCGATCAAGTTTATTGTAAACAGTATCAACAATATCTTTCAAAAACTCCACCTCATGCCTGTAACAAACCAAGAAAAATGAATAAGTTAAAAAGATGGCATTGAGGGATTTTTTATAAAGTTAGATGTAAATAACATCATTCCAAGTATAAAGTACAATCTACCAATATAGTCGAGGGTTAAACACTAGTATCATAACTTGGAGGCCCTAGGACAACCACGAATGGCCTGGAATCATCACACGCAGGTGAACTTCCATGTCCATAACGGGAATTGATATAGCTTGTTGGGGCAGAGTATGCAAAAGGTAAAAAAAGAACACTAGTAATAATCAAATTGTTAGATTGCAATGGGATCAATTAAAATGTACTTTAGTAACGATTAAAAGCAAGAACATAAAACATACCCAGAAAGAATCAAACCAGTGATATTAGCAACCTTCCTGAGGGCTATCTTCCATCGTTTCACGTTATCATATGTCCACCTTGGAGATGTTTTAACTTTTATATGGAAAGATTTATTTTGATTCCTCACATCTGTGGGGTTAACATGATAAAAAACTGGTAGGACAAAATGATTGGTCTCACTCCTTTGCAAGAGAATCAACGAAAGCTCATCAAGGCACCATGTAGAAGTTGCATAGTTTTTTGAGATCACAATTATTGAAGCCTTTGATGCTTTGATTGCTTTCTTGATTTCCGGCTTTAGTTCTTCACCTCTATCAATATCATCACTATCCCTAAAAGCATGAATTCCAGCTTGTTTTAGTGAGTTGTAAAGATGGTCTGTAAAAGAATAACGAGTATCTTTGCCTCTAAAACTTAGATAGACATCATAGTTGCWACTCTTAGCATCTTGAGAAGCCATGATACTAGAGAAAGAACTAGAAGCCATTAAAGTTAGAAAGAAAAAAAAAAAGGTCCCCGTATGCGAATGCAATGACGGAAAATGGAACGGTGAGAAGACTTGGTATCTTAATAATACCAAAAACAATCAAAGGGACATGGTCATTGTAAAAGAATAAATTTGTGATTGTTAACGCCAACCATCATAAGAAATAACGAACGTATAAAACACCAAATACGTCGAAGGTGATGATTTCAAGACAAGAAAAAACAAAAATAAATGTGTAAGACGATAGATACAATCATTGCTAAATTTTAATCAACTTTTTATCGTATACTTCAACACAAGATTTATAAGAACATTGATTAACAACGTCGCCATAAGAAATATATGATTACTGCGTTGTTGATGTGTCTTATGTTTACTGCATGAGTAACCCTTTGAGTTTTTGATCTGTCGCCATAAGAAATATATGATTACCAGCAACAACGTCGTACAAAAAGCATATACATCTCCAATAACTACCCCGATTATAGATCTCTTGTTGCTTGAATCTTCTGTAAAGCATGGATAGGAAATATACATCAACAGAATAAAAAAACACAATAACCATGTCCTATCCTCGATCATTTTTTAGAAGTAAAAAAGTGATCACCGTCCCTGCCCCCGTCCCCGTTAAAATCCCCAATCCCCACCCCGTCCCCGATAAGATGTCCCTGAACCCAATCCGAAAGTTTCAGTTTTTGGTTTTCATCATTGGTTTCAGGTTCTTTTGCCATCTTTATCATTAAGYGATGAGTCTGACAATTCCGTGACTGTTGGGTCTAACAGAGAAGGTCAACCGGTCTTTCTCCATCCTCGTACCTCTGTAACAAACAATGTGTGATATACTATGAGGAACTTTATCTATTTGCAGCTTAAATTCAATTGCAAACACTCAGTAATAAGAATAACATACCTCTATCGTCAATGTCATTATCACCAAGTTGAAAAAATCTCCCAATCTGGATTAAGTTGAAAAAATCCAACAAAGATAAAATGCTCATGTTCTTAGTTGGAATGTCGACAAATCCCGTTGCATGTTAATTTTCAAGGTATCATCTTCATTCTCGTATACAAGAGTTGCACCACACTCGTGTACCTTTAATGTTCCATTCATCACAACATCAACGATAGACACATTAACTTCATCTCCAACGTTTAACTTGCTTCCAATTGGCCAATAGCTTAACCATATACCAACTGCACCAACTCCAGGGTTCTCAAAGACATGGGGGTTGTATATATAAGCAACACCACTGTTGGTACTGAGTTTAGCAAACCATGCCCAATCATAATCACATGATACTGTATATTTGAARCTTATGTTCATTCCTATCAGCCTCCTATTCTTGGGACATGAAGGAACCTCAAAGGACAAAGATGGTGATTTTGATATGTATCCATGTATTAGGCTTGGATCCACTATGTATGGCAGAGACRTGCTCATTATACCGAATTCATACAACATCTGTACCACAAACAATATATAAAGTTCAATCACTCATATATARCAAGTTCAGGTGGAACTCGATGTGCTTGTGTGTGCTTATGCATGTGATTCAAAAAAAGAACAACAAACCTTGATTTTGCTTCCGACAACAGCGCTGAGCTCGTCATCCTCCCTTCTATCGCCARAGAGGGGCATCCTAAGATATTCATATTTTTTTAGCCACACCATGTGTCCTAAATCAGCTCGAACATGTTTGGCTATTAACACCAATTTTATAAAGCCTTCAATTTCAGACAAACTACAACAACCATGACAGCCAAACTCTTGCAATGTGAACTTATGTGACTCGAAAGTTATTTTCTCTAGCAAGCCACAAAAATCTACATACAATTCTGCAAGTGCACTTGGGAGACATGTAAGCCATTTAAGAAAATTGCAGCAACTCAAGTCAAGGACCCTAAGATTTTTAAGACGACTGTAACTAGGCAAGCTTTCAAACACGCCTCCTCCTAAATCCAGGTACTGCAATTTCAATTGAACGTTGAAACTCAGGGGAAAGAAGTCAGTACACGGAATGCTGTTGCCCTTGAGGGTTAACCACACTAAWGGAGGTGGCAAAATAAAGGAAGTTCGTTGTGGACTTCCTCCACCAGACATTGAAGCCAGTTCCCTTCCAAAGGCCCTATAGAAAATCCAGCAAAAACAGAGCCGTTGACACCTGATCATGTTCACTACAAAGATTCATAAGGCTTCCAATGCTTTCACAAACATTAACCAATTTAGAASAGTCACAAAGAATCAGAGTCTCAAGATTAGGGAGACGAGATATATTGCGGATTTCAGACAGAGACTTTGAGCCTTGAAGATCTAGAGTCTTGAGGTAATGAAGAACCTGTTGCAAAAGTAGCAAGACTTATTTGGCACGCATGCACTATAAACCACAAAAAGACTACCAAATACTGAGAAGCGAAAAGGAGAAGCGATATAAAAAGGATGTCAAACTTCATACGATGGGTGGTTCAAATACTTCCAACTTGCTATCTCTCATATCTATAGTCACCAAGTTTCCCTGGAATAAGCCAGACGGTATAGCTGTTAAATGGAACCGACGCCAGCATAGCCATCTTAAATCTTCTGAAAATCCCTTGTAGGATCCAGTGAGATGCACATCATTTAGCTGGAGCAATTTTAGGTTATCCATTTTTGTAAGTGAATCTGTCTTAAGATCTGATGCCTGCAAATTTAGCATGGAACAAAGATGCCACCAAGTACTAAGAAACTGCTCCTCGACTATTTGAATAAAATTATCTGGGTCTYAGACGGGTGTATATTAAGGGAACATAAAATGTTCCAATACCATGGTGGATATGCATTAGAATAGAAAGAGCATAATCTAACAGCAAAAGAAAGATTACATTGTAAAAATCAAGCTTCAATTGTCCAACATTTGACATGTCAAGTGCTAGGTGTCAATAAAATTTTAGATGAAATAAGAGGTTGTGAAAGGAAAACTGTGCTTAAACATCAACATAAAAAGCACCATACCTCTCCTTTGCTCAAGATCTTGAGAGAGYCACTACTAAGCCAAACTCTACTACGTTCTGCAGGGTGTTTTGATTCTTCACGGATTATACTTTTCCCCATTTCTTGGATCAATTGATGCATCATCAGTTTGTTGTTTGGTGATACAGAAAGAAGACATCTACTGTTTAGGACTTGGATCCCAGATGGTGCACAATAATCATGCTCCAATATCTGTTCCACATAATCCTTGTCCTCTCCAACAAAAAAACAAGCGATGTGCAAAAACAACTCTTTACTAGTTTTATTCGGCAATGAGTCATAGCTCCTTAYGAGTACACGTTGAATTCCAGAATTCATATCTCTTTTCAATAAATCCAGTGTACTTCTCCAAAATAAGATGCTAATATGCTCTGATAGAGAGGAACCCCACACTTGAAGAGCC